CGCGCTGGCCGCAAGCCCGCAACCACTGCAAAAGCGACCCTTTTTACTGGTACCATGTGCCGAGACAGCAGCCGCCGTCACCGTGCGTGCGCCGACCGCGTTTCTGCTCCGCAACTCGACAATATTGCACCAATAACCTGACCGGTTTTCCGGCCTCGGTGCGGTGCTCCATGGCCCGCAGCGCCTTAACCTGCGGGGGGTCCCGGGGCCGGCTGAAGCTGGCTAGCTGCACGTAGAGCAAAAACTAATTAATGTGGAATAGTGGCAGGCATCACTACGATTTCGTTCCGTCGGTGGGGTAACGGGGGTTGACCCTGCACAGGGGAGAGAGAGATTGATTTCATGGCATTGCATTGCAGATTTGCACTGCACTGTGGCCATCTTGCACGCACATACTCATACGTAGTAGTTGCGAGCTGGTTAGACTCGCAGAACATCCCGTTGTTCGTTGGAATGCTGTACAGGTTGAACCTGTTGATCGTGTGTGTCGGATTCTGACGCCGCTTGGACAGTTTGCCGCATTGAGGCCTTGAGGTTTGACTGAAAGGAAGGCCTGTTGGGGGAAAAATTTTGAGTTTTGATTGTCACATTGGATATACAGACACATATTTTAAGTATTAAACATAGTCTAATAACAAAACAAATTACAGATTCCGTCACGAAACTGCTAGACGAATTTATTAAGCCTAACTAATCTGTCAATAGCAAATGTTTATTGTAGCACCACATTGTCAAGTCATGACGCAATTAGGCTTAAAAGATTCGTCTCACGATTTACACGCAAACTGTGTAATTGATTTTTTATCCATATTTAATACTTCGTGCATGTGTCCAAACATTCGATGTGATGGGTGAAAAGTTTTTGCTTTGGAACTAAACAAGGCTGAAGTCTGCATGCCAATGCGGCATTCCCTGTTACCCTCTACCAGGCCTTCGTTAGTTCATTATTCCATTGACCACCACTCTGCACCCAAGAATGGAATTTCTTTTTTACAGAATTGCTAAAATGCTTTCGAAAAATGAGGGTAAAATCTTGCAAATTTCTAACCTTCATATTTACTTGCGATTTGTGCTCTAATGAGCTTCTTGAACTCCAGCGATCTTGTTGAACTTTAATGAACGGCGGCGATGACCCTGATCATTTAGGGTCTGGGTTGAGGTCGGGACGTGGTAGGGAGGTGAGGGGAGAAGGGTAGAGGGAGGAGTTCGCTAGCTTTAGAGGGATAATTAACCATGGGCTACGAAGGACTGGCGGTGGGTGGTAGACTCGGGAGAGCGGTGAGGCGGCAGAGGCGCCACCAAATCCCGGGGGATGTGGTGGGGGTGGAGGAGGGTTGTGGGTTGGCATCAGCGGTGGGTGCAAAACAAAGTGACTGATTACGATGTGGTGGCCGCTGGTGGATCCGTTGGTAGGGAGCTGACAGAGACGAGGAAGACAGTGAGACAGAGGCACCTCACCACCGCCGACTTCAGGAGGAGGAGAGGGTGGAAGGGGAAGGAAGCTAACTGAGGGGGCCTCACCAGTGCCTTCCGGCCAGCTGGCGACGCTGGGCGGTGGCGCGGGGTGACACCGGCAGTGATGTTGCTCAAGGAAGTGAGCGGGCGAGCTCACCTCGCGCTCGTGTTGTATGTGGCTGGGGGAGAACGGGAAGGGAAAGAAAAGGATAAGATCACTGTTACACACGAATCTTAAAGCATATCTAGTGCCAACATTTGAAAGATATGAGCTGGAATTTCTGTCAACTGATATATTGACAAACCCTTTTTAATTATTTTTAATCTTTTTAATTTTAAAAATGACATCTTTCAAAACTTATTTTCAAAATCTGAACCTCCTATCCATGCCACCACGTGTCGAGCAAACCTCTCTTTAGGCTACGCAGACGAGCGACATGTAGTCTCGTGTTAGCAATCTTGTTTCTCCTCCCCATTAGCAAATCTCTATTGTATCTAATCCCATGCCTGTGAGAAAGTCTTTTCGAATTCTTGATCTCGAGGCTTCAGTTAACCTCTCGCGTCGCCCTCCCCCACTGGCGGCACGGGAGGGGTCGATCTCCGGCCGCCCCCTCCCCCCATCTTCCTCCTCCGCCTCGCCGCCGCCTGAGCGGCCGCCGGCAAAGCCGCGCGGCCGCAAGGACGGCGGCGGCGGGGCTCCTCGTTTTCTCATCGACCTCGTCTCGTCCGGGCGGCCGGGGGAGCAGCCCAGGGCAGTGGCGACGGTGACCGCCAGATCCGCGCCGCCTCGGGAGGATCTGGCAGGGTGGCGGCTGGCGGCGGAGATGGACACGGCGGCGGGGAAGGCGATGGCGTCGGCAGAGGTGCGGCTGGGTCGACGGCGGCGGGGACGGCAAAGGCTGGGACGACGGCGGCGGGGATGGCGACGGCGGCGACGGCGGCAGAGGCGCCGATCCGGCCACGCTGAAGGCGGATCCGGCCCCCCGACGGCGGATCTAGCCACCCGGCAGCCGGATCGAGCCAGCTCGTGGCGGGGGCGGCGGAGCTCGCGACGACGTGGCGGCAACAGCAGGGCAAGCTCGTGGAAGGGGCGCCCGTTGCGGTGGCGACAGCGGTGCTAGGCCCGCGACAGCGGCGGCAACATCCATTGGCAGGAGCTTCTAGAGGTGGTGCTGTCGGCGGCGGTGGCTGCCGACGGCGCCCGCGATCGGCAGCGTCCACGGCGGCTCTCGGCCGGATCTGGGTGGTCGGCTGGCGACGCCTATTGGTGACAGCGGCGGCGGTTGCTGGCTGCTTGGTGGTGGAGGGCGACGGTGCAGCGGCAGTTTGCGGAGGCGGTGGCTCACGTCGGTGGCAGCGGCGATGGCGGCCGTGACTGTGGAGGCGGTGGCGACGTTGGCAGCGGGGAAAGAGTCGGGTGCGAGGCGAGGATGGCGACGGCGAGGTGGCTGAGTGTTCGACAGCAGCGGCTGCGGTGGTGGTGACCGTGGCGGTCATCAGAGGCATGGCGGCCTCAAACGGCTTGCCGAGGGCGTGGGAGACGGTTGCATCTGGCCGGCGCGGCATCGTGGGTGGAGGGGTCGGAGATCGGCTTGGCGCAGAGAAGCGCAGCCGATGGCAGCGGAGGCCGGCTCGGCGCAAGAGGCGCGGGCAGCGGAGATGGAGGCCGGCTTGGCGCGAGAGGCGCGGCCGATGGAGGGAGGCCGAATTGGCGCGAGGCGTGTCCGGTGGAGGAGGCCGGCTTGGCGCAGTGAGGCGCGGCCAGCGGTGGAGGAGGTGACCTAGGTGTGAGAAGGAGCTGCCGATGGGTGTGGAGCGAACTCCGGTGCACGAAGGTTGGCCGGCTGGGGGCGCCGGTGCAGGGGTCCCACATGTCGGTAGAGCTAGTGTGGTGGTGGAGCTTTGTTGGTCTAGTGGCGGTCGGTCACGCTTAGCGACGACCGGTCCGGTGCTAGCCTTCTCCTGGGCTTGTGTGTTGGCAATGTCGGTGTGTGGGTGGTGGTATATTTTTTCCTTTTTCCTGGCTACGACCCTCCAGAGTCGTAATCTTGTAATTTTTTCCTACTCTATCAATAGAACTTCGCACCGTCTCGTGCAAGTCGTAAAATAATCCCATACCTGTGTAATGCCTCCCGTTCCTTTTGCAAATGAAAGCATTTAGGTTGGGAGGCTCTCCGCCTTGACCTTTTTTTTTAAAAAAAAGAACTTCCATATTTGTTAATTTTAAATTTAGAAATTATGTAATGTGGAAAAATTAAATTTAAAGAGTTCACAGTGTTTCCAATGCAGCATTTTGTTTATATTAACACATTAATATAGGAGCTTTTTCCAAGTGCCCAACTGGTATAGTTGTTGAACCATGTCCTCTACAAGAATTAGTTGTTGAATTCCCACAAAAATATTGCAAAAATCCTCTACCCAAAAGAAGCTCTTAATATCTGTACTGGTGCTAAGAACTGCTGGGAAAGAGATAGATGTGACAAAGATCATGCTTTTCTCTTAAACTGAGAAACAAAATGCATCGTTTCTTTACTTTTTTAAAAGGAAAAAGTCCAAATATTCCCCTAAACTTTGTATGGAAGTCCATCTAACACCCTAAACTTTAAAATCGAAAATCGGATATCCAGCACCCTAAACTTTACAATACCGTTCAAATTTCCCCATATGATGGTTTTGGATATTTGGAAGCTAGTTAAATATAAGTAGCTTTGAATAACTAATATAAGATATTTGTGTATCATCAGTTGTAAGTAATTGATTTATAGATATTATACTATTATTATGTTGGTACTCATTTGTAAATGAGAGCTAACAAGAGGTAAAGAATAAATATTTAATTGGATATTTTAATATATATGTCCAATATGTATGTCACGTAATCAAACTTTATCCAACTTATATATACATTAGATAAAAACCACTATGCAAAACTACCTTAGAAGGTTATATAAATGATATTGTAAAATTCAGGGAGTTGATTGTCCAATTTCAAAGTTTATTGTGCTACACAGATATTCAATCAAAGTTTAGGTGGGTATTGGGACTTTTTTTCCTTTTAAAGACTATTTATTCGTTATTCGTTCCTTTGTTTTCAATAATGAAAGAAACTTTCGTTCCATACACCTGAAGGAATATACTGCCACTGCGCCACATTATCATATAGTTTTGTAATAACAAATTGATGCTTTGGTCTCTGTCAGAAAGTATTGATGCCTTGTTCCTCTGCTTTTCTCTTTTCTTTTGATACTCTGCTTCTCATTTTATCTGCCTTGAGTAGATGTCAGAATGTCTGCATGCTAGGAGTGATATGATAACCATATCAAACCCTGAAGATCCCATGCGCCGCGAATTTATTCCCCTTTGGTTTTCTTTGATATCGCCAAAGGAAAGGTGCGTCAAATTCGTGTGGACTTTTGTAGAAACCGACAGCGTCCATCACATTCACCTTGCATGTGCAACCATTTCGATACGACACTTCGCAAATTGCAAATTTGCGACGTCCACAAAATCAAGCTGTGGTAAGTGCACTAGGAACTTCTTTGTCCTTTTCTTTAACAGCAAGGATTGTATTATCATGCATCATAAAAAAAATACATTGTCGTGGTTGCGATAATTTACCATGGTATATATCATCATATATAAGCGTCGCACATTATTACACTTTGTGGTAATACATTATCAAACAAGTATTTCACGTTTCGTCTCTTCTTGTGTTTTGATATCTCACCGGCGCATTGGTTCCCAGGGCGTCGGCGAAGACGGTGATCATCGGAAATGATCACCTGCAAATGCAATGCGATGGGAATTGGGGTTTATCATCCTTAATTAGTTCACCTTCCTGCAGTTGAGCCTGACCTCCGTGGCGGTGCCGGAGGACGGCAGCAGGTTGCCCATCTTGACCATGGCGGAGACGAAGTCGGAGGAGAACTGGGAGGGGTTGGTGCTGTACTGCCTGACGAGGCCGTCCTGCGAGCCGCCATTGAAGAGCTCCTGGTCGGAGTGGAGCAGGCCGCGCTGCGACACGAGGTTCTGGTAGTAGGCGTTGTCGAAGGCGTCGGGCGTCTGCACGTCGAACGGCGCGAGGTTGGCGTCGCCGCCGGAGCGCGGGCACGTCTGCTGCCGGAGCGACGCGAAGGAGGCGTTGATGTTGCGCTCGGTGTAGATGCGGCTGCGGAAGAACTGGCACTGGGCGCGGCCGATGGTGTGGGCGCCCGACAGCGCCGTCATGTCGCGCGCCGAGAGGCCCTGGTTGCCGAACATGCTGATGAGCGTGGCGAGGCTCGACCCGGGCCCCGGCAGGTTGCTGTTCGCCGCGCTCTGGCTCGCCGTGCGCGAGTCCTTCCGCCCCAGCGCCACGCTCCACGTTGGCCCACCCAGCTGCACACCAAAAGAACATGTCAGCCACTGGTAAAATTTCAGTGACGTACGGGTGGTTTCACGTACGTGTCAGAGCAGCGTATGTAGTACACTGACCAGGTTGACGCCGTCGCGGGCGGCGAGGGCGAGGATGTCGGCGCAGGAGACGGTGGCCTTGCAGGAGGCCTCCACCTGCGTCTTGATGGCGTCGATCACCTCGAACCCGCGGGCCGAGTTGGCGTTCGGGCCGGCGCTCTTCTCGCCGGTGAACGTCGACGTGTCGTCAAGCAGGATCGAGCCGTCACATCCCTGCAACCAACCCCACCAGACAACCATAAAACCATAACTCATGAGCTCATGATCATTCATCAGCAACAGCACCAGCCAAAAAAATTAATTAAAAATAATGTTGCGTTGCTTAATTACATTGACGAAGCAATCATGGAAGAAGAGGCGAAGGATGGAGGCCCCCATCCGGGGCTCCGTCCGCACGGCGGACGCCATCCCGGACCGCACGATGGTGGCCAGGTTGGGGCACGTCCTCGAGTAGAAGTTGGGGGACAGCTGCTGCGCCTCCGCCGCTCCGCCGAGCAAAACGGCGACCACGACAGCGACGGCGGCCACCAAGGCCCGCCCGGTGATCACCACTCCGGCCATCTCGACACAAGGTAGCAGAGAGAGCAGCACACTACAAACGTACACAACTCGATCCTGAGATGAGTTGGATGGGACGAGACGCACAGGGGTGGCCTCCAATTTATAGTGTGCCGCCATATGCTACCCGCTGGCCCATGCATTCGGTTGGATCGATCGATCGATCGATCTCCTGCTGCACGCGGCACACACGAGGTGTAGTAGTAGACGACTAGTAGTGGTTTAGAACAAAATTTTCAGCCAAACTCTCTGCACTCTCTGCATGCAGGCTGCAGCGCCGGACTTGGTTGACCAATAAGCTGTCCTGGCACGCGCGATTCAGGCATGGGTCCCAGAGTCTCCTGCACGTCGTCGTCGTCTCGTTGCTAAACTACTTATATACTACCCCTGTTTTTAATAGATAACGTCGTTGATTTTTTCTTACATGTTTGACTATTCATCTTATTTAAAAAATTTATGTAATTATAATTTATTTTGTTATGAGTTATTTTATCACTCATAGTACTTTAAGTGTGATTTATATCTTTTACATTTGCATAAAATTTTTTGAATAAGACGAATGGTCAAACATATGAGAAAAAGTCAACAACGTCATCTATTAAAAAATGGAGGAAGTATTTGTTAGCCAGCCGGAAGCCAAAACATGATGAGCAATCCCATAGTCATCAACCTCCCGTGTCGATCGATCTCGATATCGGCACGAATTATTGCATGTGTTAGCTCGTCACTTTCCTGAATATTATGGCCATATAGTATAGTAGGCTAGTAGCTAGTAATATGATTATGTGTGTGGCCCGTGCACGTCGTCATATGATGATCATCTCTCGATACATGGGCTCATGTGACATGGGAGGAAATTTCGCCCGAGGGGAAGAATGGTCGTAGGATGCACGTACAATCAGGCCAGCCATCCGGCCGCAAAATGGACCAAAAGGATCGATGATGATATACGTTGATAGTAGTGCAGTACATTGTTGGATGCATGCAATGCTTGCTTGGTTAATTGTGTGCTGCAGGTTTGAAAACTATTAAGCAAGGATGGTTCGGCAATCTTCGGAGGATATGCTTATTTTAGTTTGAAAGCGCATATCTGTATTAGTAGACATCAAGGACAATCCACGCACTTAGGACTGATAGCACGTGTACCGATCGACCGAAGCTACTGTTGGTTAATTTATATGGTTTTTTCATGGCTATTTCTAACTGAGTCACGGCGCAAACCGGCTGTGTTTAAGTTGGTGGTCGTCCACCCAGCTTGAGAGCTAGATTATTCTTCATCTTTAGTTCCGATTCGTGTTATCAACCGGGACTAAAGATCAAATTTTAATCCCGGTTGATGATTTGGAGTATATTTAATACTAGTTTTTAATCTAACCGGGATAATTATGATTTTGGGTACCATAGGAAAAGATCAGTCCTCCACTAGTATGATCAAAGTGCATATGTGGAGGTATTGGGAGGATTCCATGGTTCTTCACATAATAGTAGTACATCCATTTTAAACACGTAATATTGTTGGCTTTCGAACATGATGATTGACCATTTATTTTATTAGAAAAGCTTTATATATATCAATATTTTATTTTGTTTGGGCTTGTGTTATCATTAAAGATCCTATATTTTTAATATATTTATGCTAAAATGTTTAATAAGATGGATAGTTAAACATGATGTTAAAATTCAATATCGCGTCATATATTTGAAAATGGAGGAATGGGAAATATCCAGGCTAGCTATTCATCAGCTACAGTGTTTTAGAACATATTGTTAATTATATACTCTATCAGTCTCACAAAAAATCATCCAAAAATTAAATATGTTGTTTTTTTTACGGAGCGAGTATCAGGCAAACTAAATAAAAAAAATCACAAAGAGACCAAATTATCCAACACATCACATGAGAGATTAACGTAACAATTAATTAACATTACATGGCACTTTCATGTCACGGGCAACGAATGAATAATCGAGGATAAGATTATCTGGAGATAAGACCATGCATGATATACATATATGAAACTGTTCCGTGGTGACCATACGTGTAGAAATCAATCGCTTTCGTCTAATTAAACATTGTAGAAATTTGTAAGCGTGCGTCTCACTGTCATCCATGTTGAAAGAAGTACTAAGTTTTCAAACTTGCAACGACTAACGCTAACCGGTGTCAGCTCCGGTCTTTTGCCTGAGATAAGCACTTCTTAACCGAAAAGAGATAGGGGAGTAATTAATAACCAATTTAACACGCGAGAATTATACAACCTGTGTTCGATAGCAACCTGCTGCAGTTTAATTTGATTTGCTACCTAATTACTAAGCAGCTAGCTAATACTCCCTCCATTCCATAATACTACACAACCACTTTTTAAAGATGTTTCATAATACAAGACATGCATATATGTAAGCAATTTACTATGACCCATTCTCCATTAAATTATTATTTTTTAAATCATCCACTCTCATGTTCTCTAATTCTATTGGATATGCATGCATTGTATTTATTAGGATGATCCAAACTACAATATGATAATAATTATTTCTTGATTTTTGGGTTAGGGGTGGTTATGCCTTATATTTTAGAATGGAGGGAGTAGTAGATAGACTTCTCAGCGATCGATGTGACTATGCATCGATGAGACGTTGAGCCATGCATGAATTAATTCATGGACGTGACTGCGAGTTTGTGATGAGCGGGTATGCATGCACTTGTTTGGGCATGTGGCTCACTCTATGTAGAATTGTAATCTTTTATGCCATTTGGAGTAGTGCTGGCATGTTTCATATATACAAAGATAGGAAGATCATGGAAAAGAGCTAGCCTAGTTGTCATTAAAATTCAGCATATATACATAAGAGCAAAAGGTAGGCATTCTGCAAAGATTAATTCGACATGGCCTTGTTGTCACAAAAGGATATATTATTCAAGGTTCAGTGTAGGCTTGCTGTTAGAAAGAACCAATAGGTCTGATACTGGTACGAGCCAAATGAAGGATCACCATCGATGACAATTCAGATAACAGAGCTATGCAAAAGTACATGATTGTTTGAATTTAAAATTTGTCACTATGTAAAAGCATTTTGTCTCTGCTAGGCCAAATTTCAAAGATGCTTTGTTTCTAGCATTTCACTTGGCCGTATTTGGTGACAGTGGATCATGCCAAACTATAACATATATACATAAGAAACTGTTTTGTGCAGCGCATCAGCCAATCAATCAGGATATATATATATATACAAAGGTGACAAATGTGATTGCTCACACGCATCTTATTTGGGATAACTAACAATAATTAACGTCCACTACTGAAGATAAAAAAGGCCCAGAAAAAAAAAAGCAAGTAGCTAATGAATAAATGATGTAGTGATCGATGATGAAGAATTGAAGATCAAGCATATCATCGTTGCGACGATGCACGCATATCTGCTGAAAAGCCTTATTGTGATATACATCAAGCATGCATGCATGTTACCCCCAGCGAGTTAAACATTGTATCCATGGATGCGTCCAATTCAATTAAACTAAGTACTCGTGTCTGATAGCATGTAGGTCATCTATGTTATGCTATAACTAGGAAGGTATTCGCGCGGGCATGTATTGTGGGCTGCATGTTTCAAAAGCTTATAAGAACATAATATTAACCAAATAGCACGGTCACACTTCGAAGTATGTTTTCTCCACAAATATTCTTCGTCGGTATTTGTTATTTTCCACAAACGTGTTATCTAACAACTTAAAAGCGTTTCACATTGTTGTAATGTAAGAAACATGTTCTTAATCATATGGTTTAAAAATCTTTGTGGCTTTTCCTAAATATTTATGACTGACCAATAGCTAGTCTCCAAAATATGGTCTAAAGTAATTTATTTCTTTTACTTGTTAAATATAGTTAATTTGGATTTGGACTCATGAAAGTTTACTGCAAATAATCTAATGAGGTGCACAGATAAAAAAATAGTTTAGATGGTAGTTGTTTAAAAATTGCTATCACAAAATGTGTTTTCTATCTAACTAATAAGCATGAAAATAGGACAATGGGAAAGAAGGAAAAGAGGCGGCGAGGTTGTGCTCGTGCATGAGGGGGGAGGGCGCAGACATGCATACGTACGGACATAACATAATAGGGAAGCCGGACATGAGGGATGGGATTGGGCCTTTTCTCTTTTTGTCTATCTATTAAGATAAATCTAATAGTAAAAAAATAGTGAGTCCATGGTAAAAGGCATATTTCATATAAATTATGAGTATATGTGATTTTTTTTCAATTATTTCATATTTTATTATGTCAATTCAGATGACATGTAAAAATAGTAGGGATGTTGTCTCTTGACAAAACACTATTTAATAGTCGAATTTCTAATTTTTGTTTGATATTGTAGTTTTAATTTACATGTGCATGTTTTTAGAATAATGTAGATGAGAGGAAGAGGGAGGAAGGGGAAAAGACGTTTTTTATTTAAAAGTTTTATATAGATAGATTTAATGTTAAAAATAATAGGTTTATCGATTTAAATGGAAATCAATGATTAAATGTTTCTTTCGTAGTATTTGTAGTACTTTTTATAAGTTATTAGATGTACCATGTGATGAGCTAGGAATACTATAAAGGATGTATAATGGACCGTTATTATATAATGGATAGATCTGTATGATATTTTAATGAATCTTTATTATATAGTAATTATTTATATACTAAGCTGCTAGCTAGAAAATATGGATAATAAACTGAGCAAGGAGAGAGGGTAGATCATTTACAATGGCATGATATGTGTTAATATTTAGTTATCATATAAAGGATATGAGTTTATATCCAAATGGTCTATTTCTTATGTGTATATACACACCAACACATGGCATAATTAAAATCAAATATATTATAAGAAATTATAATTATTTAATATTAATATTTTAATATAAAAATTTGCTACCTATAAATAAAAATAATAAAGGGAAAATTGGAACCATACCATTATAATTTTGTAAAATTTAAGATATGCCATCTGACCCATATGTCATTGACTCATGTGGGTTCTACATGTCATTGAGATACCGATAGCATATCTTAAACTTTACAAAATTATAATAGCATGGTTCCAATTTACTCGTAAATAAATGGAAAAAAAGAGAGAGAAGATGGGGGACGTAGGTATGTGGTTTTTTTTT